AAGTCTTGAGTTTGAAATGACGGCACGATGTGACTTTATCAAGGCAACGGGAGCTGATAAAAAGTAAATATATAAACACACAGAGGGATTAATAAATAACGGACCGTCTATAATGTAGTTTGTTTCAAATGAAGCTGGGAGCCTCTGCAGTTGTGGTGAGTTAAAGCCCCGCCGCTATTTGTTAATGTTATTACTTTATTTCCGACTCCATTATGAGGACGTAACATTGTTTGTTAATGACAGTAGCGTACTCAGCGGGTTGACAAAGTGCTCCTTTTACTCTTTTTACTCTATGTGGTAACATCCTTAGAGGAAATATTAAAAACGCTGGGGACAGCATTATAGGTGGGGGACAGGTGGTGTCGCAGACCTCCTCCTCTGAGAGATGGTTTTTCCAGTTTCACATAGATGGCTTCTTTTACACCTCTTTCAAACCATCTGTCTTCCCTGTCCAAGATGTGCACATTTCTGCTTTCAAAGGAGTATACTTTCTCCTTGAGGTGTAAATAGACAGCTGAGTCTTGCCCTGACGAGTTAGCCCTTCTGTATTGGGCCATGCATTTGTTTAGTGGTTGTTTTGTTTCACCAATGTACAAGTCTGGGCATTCCTCACTGCATTAGACAGCGTACACTAGGTTGCTCTTCTGGGTGTGTGGGTGTACGGTCTTTTGGACGTACCAGTCTTTGTCTGAGTGTGTTACTGGGTTTGAAATACACAGAGATGTGGTGTTTGTTGAAGATCATCCTGAGTTTTTCAGATACCCCACACACATAGGGGATGACAATGTTATTGTGTTTGTTCTTTTCTTCATCACCCACCTTATTGGTGTTCTTTCTGGAACGGGCTGCTGTTTTCACAAAGGTCCAACTGGGATAACCACAAGTTTTTAGAGCCTCCCTCAGATGTTCATGCTCTTTCCCTTGGGCCTGAGTACTGGTAGGTACGGTGAGAATCGAACAGTAAGTATTGGTCTGTGTGAGTGGGTTTCCTGTATACCCCAATGTGGAGGCCTCTGTCCTCTGTAATGTGAACGTCACAATCCAAGAAGGGCAAACTTAACATCTTCTCTTGTGAACTTGATGTTTCTGTCCACTGAGTTGATGTGTTCCGTGAAAGCTTGCACCTCTTGAGTTTTGATTTTAACCCATTTGTCATCCACATATCTGAACCAGTGGCTTGGTGCTGTTCCTTCAAAGGAGTTCAAGGCTCTGTGGCTAACCTATACATGGAGGATGTATAGATTAGATGTCTCCTGTATAGTTTCCTTCAGGGCAAACTGCTCCCACTTAATAACATTCTACCAATAATATCACACGTTAACAATGAGACGTTTTTATTTGTACTTGTATGGAATATTCTCTCGATTATTTCGATATGACTATAACTAATATGAAATGGTGAGCAACTGCAACATCAGAGTCAGAGCTGCTAATTTCATGATCAGTAAGTTGTTTATCTCAGACTGATATGTTTACTGCAAACTAGGGGTGTTGTGATAAACAAGTGTTGACAATACCCATGATATTTAAAAAGGAAACATTGATATCATGTTAATAAAACACATATGATATTATTGTGTAAATAATCCAGCACCTCTTAAATTGCATTAATGTCCATCAGTTCTCACTTTGTCTCTCTCTCCACCTCCAGACACTCATATTTTTAGCTGAATTCATTTACCGAAAAAAAGAAACAAAATGCACAAAATTAAAAATGAATTTGACTGATGGCTTTAAAACTATTATTATTATTTTCAAACCGTGTAATGAAAATCTCACACTATGCCAGCTCTATCTCAAACTAAAGTTATATAAAGTCTGAGGAATGTGTGAGGGACTTGCACAGGAAGAGGATGTTTGTTTGTTTAAACTCAAAGGAGGTGGAAAGTCCCACAGTCTAAAATGAAGTTAGGAGCATTGCATGTTTGACTTGGCGCCCTCTAGTGTCAAGATCTCTTTAACAAGAAAGAACAGCAGAAAGAAAAAGTCATGGCCAAATAGAAAAGGACAAATACAAACACTAAAAATATAACACACCAGACATAACAAGAGCACATGGCATCAGAGACAATCACAGACAAGTTTATATAAATTCAAAGTTAATCTTTAAAGATCAGCCAGTAGGATGAGACATTCAGTTTTAAATCCTCTGTAAGTCTTTGAATTTATAAGGTGCAAGGTGGAAGACGATCTTCAGTCTACAGCTCAGTATTTACCAGAGAGGTAACGTGGGTGAAACAGTCAAAACTCTCAGCAAGTCTCCCTCAGATACAGATGACACAGGATATTCTGCTGAGATGTTATTGGCCAGTGGTTGATGCATGTGACTCGCCAGGGCCGGCATTAAGGCATAGGGATATAGGCGGTCGCCTAGGGCGCCACATTGTCTGGTGGGCGCGGGGAAATATATGAAAATAAAATAAAAAATAATAATAATAAAAGTTCGCCAGTGGGCACCCATCCTATTCTTTTCTGGAGGTAACAAATAAACAAATACAGAAAAAAAGATAGAAAGAGAGAAAGCAAGTAAGAAAGAAAGAAGAAATACACTTTGCATCCCTGTTCCTCAAAATTTTTCATCTGCCCTGCCGCTGCACCTGTACTGTGCGCACTGAGAGTGGGGTCTGTGTCAAAATCTGGTCAAGATAGGCAGGTATTTACCTTTTACCTGCATTTCATAATAATGAAAAGGTCCAAGCCTTCAGGTGCAGGAGGAGGAAAAGAAAGTCCGATATAGAAGTATGTCGTCTGTCTTAGGTTATCTTTAACCCTATGGGCCCGAGCTATGCATAGTGCGTCCAAATTCACACCTGTTCTTCTCTATTGATTTTCTCCGCGACCGTGAGCGGAACTGTAGCTTTCCGACAAGACCAAGCACTTGTCGGTAGTCCAATGTTTTCACATCGAAAAAAAAATGCTAAAGTTACACTAAAATTATGTATAACAGAGCTTTCATACAGCTCTGCACACACATTACTCTTGGATGGATTACTCGCTAATGCAGGGTCGCACAGAAATGCCAGTGATACCACACATCATTATGCTGTCATCCCATCACGCTATAAATCCAGATTAATTGTCTACAAAATAAAAACCTGACGAATTTCTTTACAACCCATTATACAGATCTTGTTATCAGTCACTTCATATAGTGAGGAATATCGTATCTTACCACGTCTTAGGCTTGCGTGTGTTTCTCCCTGTCTATCCACATTTGTAGTCCGGCTTTCAAGATGCAAATATCTCCATATTGTCCAGTTGACACTCCATCAAACTTTGTATGACAAGACCAGCCACTTCACCTTTGCGCACCCAGACAACTGCAGCCTAATTATGCATGCTGACAGGGCCGTAGTCACCATATACATTGAGGGGGACACGTCCCGTCCCATGCCCCAATTTTTTTTTTTACTGCAAACAAAGTGGCAAATATTATGTTGGAGGACATCATTGCACTTGGTTGACTATTTTTCTATGATCTTAGATGTAAATATTTCATGTTTCTTTCAATTTTATTTATAAAGCCCAATATTACAAATCACAATTTGCCTCACAGGGCTTTACAGCATACGACATCCCTCTGTCCTTTGGACCCTCACAGCGGATAAGGAAAAACTCCCCCCAAAAAAACCTTTAACGGGAAACGGAGAAATGCCTGCTGCTGAGATGTTATTGGCCAGTGTTGATGCATGTGACTCGCCCTCTCACACAGGAGGCTACATACTTGGCTGCTACATTTTACAGCAGACAGTACTGATTTGATTTCAATATTTAATGTGATCATTTGAAGGACAATTTAGCCAAAATATGATTTCCCAGAATGCCATCTGTGATAGAGTAATGAACACTTATCAATGTCAATAACCATAAGAAGTAACAATAACTCACCATCCATGTTGTTAGATGATGAATAAGTGAAGACTGAAAGTATTTGGATCTACCAGATCACTATCCTGTGTGCCTTTTCTCCTGTCCTCTCACTAGTTTCACTTTATATTGTGTGTGTGTGTGTGTGTGTGTGTGTACAATGTAGGAAAGAGTAAACATATAAAATAACAATAAGGCACAGATTCAAAACATATACAAAATACGTACAATGCCAAAACATGTTACCAGTATAGATCATCAGATATAAAGAGGCAAATGGTGAGGATCATTCCAGGTGGGATGCATATAGACATGTACGTAAAATATTACATCTGAGTATTAGGTAAGTGCAAGTGTGTATGTATGGTTAATATCACACATGAATAAACATCATCAGATCAATGATCAAAGGTTGTATAGAACAAGATTTTAAGGCAATCATCATGTGCTGCGTCATGTTTTTATCAAAGGCAGATAGTGCTTCATCCTTCAACCATCTTCACTGCACTCCATATTGTGTGTCTGCTCCTTCAGCTGCATCTAGTCCTGTTATTGCTACTGTTAGTGCCACTCTTTCTCTTGCTTCTTTTGTTCTTCTCTCCTTGTCATTTTTTAAGTGATGGTCCTACCTAATCTTTAAATACACTGCTTAAAAAATAAAGGGAACACATAATCATCACAGTGTAACTCAAAGTCAAACTCCTGGGACATCAACCTGTGCAGTTAGGAAGCAATACTGATTGTGAATCAATTTCACATGCTGTGCAAATTGGCCAGACAACAGGTGGAAAGGAGAAGCAATTACCAAGACAATCCCTATTTAGGAATGGTTTTGCAGGTGGTGGCCACAGACCATTTCCCTCTCTACTTCCTTTCTGGTTGTTTCTGGGCTAGTTTTGCATTTTGTCCAGTGCCCTCACCACTAGTGGTATCATGAGGCAGTATCTGCAGCCCACAGAAGTTGCTCAGGTAGTGCAGCTACTCCAGGATGGCACATCCATACGTGCTGTGACCAGAAGGTTTGCTGTGTCTAGAGCATGGAGGAGATACAAGGAGACAGGCCTGTACACCAGGAGAGCTGGACAGGGCTGTAGGAGGGTATCAACCCAGCAGCAGGACCTCTATCTGCTTCTTTGTGCAAGGAGGAACAGGAGGAGCACTGCCAGAGCCCTACAAAATGACCTTCAGCAGGCCACTCGTGTACATGTTTCTGCCCAAACTGTCAGAAGCAGACTCCATGAGGGTGGCATGAGGGCCTGACGTCCACAAGTGGGGCCTGTACTCACACCCCGGCACTGTGCAGCCTGATTGACATTTGCAACAGAACACCGAAAATGGCAGATTCGCCACTGGCGCTTCGTTCTCTTCACAGATGAGAGTAGGTTCACACTGAGCACATGTGACAGACATGACAGTCTGGAGACGCCATGGAGAACATTCTGCTGCCTGCAACATCCTCCAGCATGACCGGCTTGGTGGTGGGTCAGTGATGGTCTGGGGAGGCATATCCTTGGAGGGTCACACAGAGCTCCATGTGCTAGCCAGAGGTACCCTGACTGCTGTTAGGTACCGGGATGAGATCCTCAGACACATTGTAAGACCATATGCTGGTACAGTGGGCCCTGGGTTCCTTCTGATGCATGACATTGCCTGGCCTCATGTGGCTGGAGTGTCAGCAGTTCCTGGATGACAAAGACATTGATGCTATTGTCTATTTAGTTATTGGCATTAAAAGTTTGTATCAAAAGTAGTACACTCGCGCCTTTACCAAAACAAGCTCGAAATGCACATAACAATGAAACACCTGCCAGTATGATCCAAAGCTTCTTCCATACGCTGTCTTTCGCCTGCTGTGTGATCTCCTCCTCTGACATGTTTCCTGATGACTGTCTAATGAGCTCCTCCTCTTTCTGTATTTCTTTCTCCACTGCTTGTAGGATATCATTGGTGTAGCAGCCTCCTTTGTTTGCCTCAGTTATCTTGTCTAGTGTGTCAAGTAGATTCTTCACCTGGAACTGGTTATTCCTGTATTCATCCTTTGGGTTGTCTTTCCAGTATTTATTATCAATGACATGACAGCGGCCTCCGCACTTCTTCACCAGATCACTCGATGCCTTATTCTGACAGACAAATTCCTCAGTTGTCTGTCCTTCCTTGAGCTGGTCTCCATGAGTAAAGAGAACTGTTGCATATTTGAAGACTTCTTCAGAGAAGTATTGGTGTATTTGGTTGATGACATCCTGCTCCTGCTTGGTGAATTTCTCCACTTTAAGCACAATGAGAAAAGCATGAGGTCCAGGAGCGCACTCTAAAAATATAACACACCAGACATAACAAGAGCACATGGCATCAGAGACAATCACAGACATGTGAAATTCAAAGTTAATCTTTAAAGATCAGCCAGTAGGATGAGACATTCAGTTTTAAATCCTCTTTAAGATTTTGAATTTATAAGGTGCAAAGTGGAAGACGATCTTCAGTCTACAGCTCAGTATTTACCAGAGAGGTAACGTGGGTGAAACAGTCAAAACTCTCAGCAAGTCTTCCTCAGATACAGATGACACAGGATATTCTGCTGAGATGTTATTGGCCAGTGGTTGATGCAGGTGACTCGCCCTCTCACACAGGAGGCTACATACCTGGCTGCTACATTTTACAGCAGACAATACTGATTTGATTTCAGTATTTAATGTGATCATTTGAAGGATAATTTAGTCAAAGTAAGATTTCCCAGAATGCCATATGTTATACAATAATGAACAGTGATCAACGATGATAACCATAAGAAGTAACAATAACTCACCATCCATGTTGTTAGATGATAAATACATAATAGTCATCAGTAATAGTTTACATTTGTCTTTAAGCTGTCTGCAGGTGTAAGAAGATACACATGAGCTCAGTTACAATAAAAATCCTCATTGACTGACACAAACACACACACACACTGTGTAGGACTGTATAACCCCGGCCATGGACTGTGCAATATGTGCTAATGTATCATTTTGCAGCATTTTTCTTACTCCATTAAATGACAGAATTTAACCTCGGAGCACCACCCATCAAAATAAACAGGTCGATAGCCAATTGCCTAATTACTTAATGTTGTGTCATAAACTGAAGGCTGCTACAAAGTTCTTTTTCCTGGTGAAAGGTTAATTAAACTACTAACTACAGTGTGTGGGTAAAATTAAGGTGTGGGTTCTGAACTCCTCCTAAGTCCTTCTCTGTGGCGTCTCCAGGCCGTGTTGTAAGGTCAACTAGGCACTAAACTTCCATTTGTGACTCATTTCTGAAAGGAATTTCAGTTTTAGTGAAGGATCTGAATATTGTCTTCTATTCAATAACTGTCATCATCATCCACTACATTAGTGTAACCCCTTTAACTCCTTGTTTCACGACACTTTAAGTCAAATGTCTCTGTACATTGTACATTTGGAGCATAAAGTGATTCTGATTCTGAAGAAAATCTGTCACTGTTCAACAATATGAGAAAAAGAAGGAAGAAAAAACAGATCTATAGAAACCATCTACTAATAGCACCTGTGCACTGTAAAATATATTTAAAACAAATAGCTATTATTCATATCTCTGTCTCTGTCACTAGTTTGCCTCTCTGACGTGTTTCACAATAGAGAAACAAAAAAAAGCATACTGAACGTGTTTTCACGTACATGGGACATTAAATCATGTTTTAGATTAAATGATTGTGTCATGGTGAAAGCTCAAAATCCATCAACGTGTGGGCCTCTGTCACTCTCAAGGGGAGGTCTCAAGGGGGAGGCAAAAAATAAATATAATAAAATACTACTACTCCTAGTACTACTATTACTATTACAATAACGGGGAAGCAAGATGGTGGATGGTGCTGCCAGAGGTGCTACTGGTGTGAGTAAAACTCTACCGAACAGACACGGGGGAAATTATTGTGGAAGATGAACTTCTGAATTTCCTAGCTGTTAAAATGAAAACTCTGAGCCAGGATGACATCGTTGCAGTGGCTGTCGACCACTTCAGGTCGGAGTGGATTGTGAACTCTACCAAAGTGCTTTTTGAACTTTGCCCAAGCACCACTCATAAGCTTGTAGCACATACGGGGGCGCAAAAAGACGCGAAAAACATCCAGAGTTGCCTCAAGTTATTCAACGAGGTGGGTGAGGACGCTCCTTGCTTTGTCTCTCACTTCCTGGATGAATTACCACCTGACTTTCAATAGCCTCGACGTTTCTTGCCTTCTGGCGAACATGGAGTGTCTAGGTGCAGACGTTCACGCCATGAAACAGGCTTTGTCTATGCAGACAAGTGTCTGTAACGATCTGCGTATTGTAACCGCTGATATAAACCTACAGCTGGGTGCTATTGAACAGCCTGGTACAAGCGGAGGGAGAGCGCCCGCTTCACAAGCCAGTGAGGAGACCCGGGGCAGCGTGGAGGTCCAAACCAGTGAGGAAAACTCGAGCCGGAGGGTGGAGAGCTCAGCCTCGAGCCTGGATGTGCCAAGCAGCGCAGCAACAGGAGTCTCCCCAACTTGGTCCAGTGTAGTCAAGGTGGGCCACCGGCTGAAACATGTCACAGGAGATACTAGGGCAAAGCACAAACCCCTTCTGAATCCCCTCAGGGAGAAGAAGATAGGCGGCATTGTTGGAACTAGTGCTGGTGGGAGCATTCGAGTTATAAAGACAAAGCTGGTGAGTGTTTTTGCGAAAAAATTCTCGCCTACTTTAGACTCGGAGACTCTGGCCAGCTACTTGAAAGACAAACTTGGTCGTGAGGTAACCTGTCAAAAGTTAGACACTGTACAGAGCCGGTTCAGCTCCTTTAAAGTAACCGCCGAGTGCAAGGAGGTAGCTGAAATGTTCGATCCAATGCTCTGGCCTGAAGGTGCCTTTGTGCTGCGCTTCTATGAGGCACGCAGACCCAAGGCTCCGGTGGGATTGACACCGGCAGGGAGTGTGCCTGTACCGGAGGCTGGGTCGTCCGATGCCATGTAGAAGCCATGGCTTTCAGAGTTGTGTCATATATAACTTGTGAGGCCTGCGCCTGGGACAAAGTGCTGGGGACAGAGCGCGTCGTGTTGTTATTGACCAGCTCCTGGAGAGCACGGACATTCTTTGTTTACAAGAGACTTTTTTAGCCAAACAAGACTTGGATAAACTTAATTCTGTCCACAATGATTTTCATGGGACAGGAGAGTCCACAACGGACCTAAGCATGGGAATAGTGAGTGGCAGAATACCCGGCGGTGTGGCCATTCTGTGGCGCAAAAACTATGACCCACTGATCACTGTTGTCAGGCTTGAGGTGGACTGGTGTATAGCAATTAAAGTCGTACATAATATGAATGTTTTTATTATTTTAAATGTATACACTCCATATGATTGTCACAGAAATGAGGAGGAATACCTAGATAGATTAGCGTTTATAGGCTCATTCATTGAGGAAAGTGCATGTACCAACATATACGTGATGGGTGACAGGAATGCTGATATTTCAGATGAAAAGTCTCTTTTTGGTCAGCACTTAATACAGTTTTGTCAAGATAGCAAGCTGGCTCTCTCCAGAAAAATACTCTTGCCTGTAGACAGTTACATGTACATTAGTGAAGCATGGCACACAACGTCCTGGCTCAATCACATTATGTGTACAGCCGATGCTCATGACAGTTTAGAAAATGTTGAAATATTGTATGGATTGGCTACAACAGATCATATCCCTGTTTCCATGATGTTAAATGTTGGTAGTCTATCTGAATGTAACAGTATTAATAACCATGAGCAGAGTGGGAAATTACACTGGATGAGCCTTACAGATGATGACCTTAGACATTACAGGTCACTGACTGATTATAGCCTTAATGACATTGATCTACCAATTGAGGCTATAATATGTGGTAACATTAACTGTAAGAACCAAAAACACAATAAGGATCTGTGTATCATGTATGAAACCATTGTGAAGTGTCTCGTTAACGGCAGTAAATCATTCTGTCAAAAAAGGATTAAACATAATACGAGGCCTGGGTGGAATGAATATGTGCGTGAATTACATGCGGAAGCTAAAGAAGCCTTCAATAACTGGGTGACATCAGGAAAGGCAAGGCATGGCCCAGAGTGCGAAAGAAAGAAACTGGCAAATGCTAGATTTAAGTATGCTGTACGATTAAAAAGAAAAGAATAATATAAAAAGAAATGAGGATGCAATGAGGTCTAATTCAATGGCCAGAAAGCTTCAGCAGAATAAAACATATGAATTTTGGAAGGAAGTTAAAGCTTTTAACAACAAGATGCCTCTACCATCTAGCATCTCTGGTTTAACTGGATCTGAGAATGTTGCTGAGCTATGGAAGAAACATTATTGTGATATTATTAATTGTGTTAGAGGTGATGCATTTATTGTTGGGAGATGTTTCTCACCATGATGGTGTGGTTATAAGACCAGATGAGGTATTGTGTGCTATAGAGAAATTATCACTGAATAAAGCATGTGGCTTTGATCAAATAGTGGCAGAGCATCTAAAATACACTGCCTGGCCAAAAAAAAAGTCGCCACCTGGATTTAACTAAGCAAATAGGT